GGGGAAATGGGATAAGTTAAAGGCCCGTGGCGGCGGGCGAGAATGTTTGAGACCATTACCTGCAAATTGCAAATATGCCACATTACAGCTCCAGATGGCTAATCCACAACAGGGGAAACTCATCAGGTTAGTGTTCCACACAGAGACTAAACGACCTCCTAAGTAGCGACTCCTTTAGATATTGTAATTATGAGAATCAGCTGAGGATTTTAATCACACCTCCACATGGTTAAAGAGGAGGGGAAAGAAACCCAAATGTCTGTCTTCTAGGTAAATAATCTTTGAAGTTTCAGAGTGAGCTCAAAAGGGTTAGATTCGTATATTTTGGCCCTCCTAAAGCTCAGGTGTTCACACGGTGATGGTCAACATGCTTTTACTGTGGTCAGTGGGAATTTAGAGGTCTCCTATTTGGTGTCAACTTGAGCTGCAACAGGAACCTTTTCCAGAAACTAAACAGCCGTCAGGACGGTTTTTGGTCTATAGCCGTCAGGTTTGAGCTCAAGAGCTGGGTATTAAAAACCACTGTTCATCAGCTCCTGCAGCGCAAACGCAACACAACCGAACAATGTAATAGATTTTTTTATTTTTTAAATGTATTTTATTCTTGGCTCTCTGTTCACATTCTGGTTTGACAAGTGAAGTTGCTCCAAAAGCCAAATTCCCAAATCAACTGTGCCGGAAATAAGCCACTGTGTTCGGGATGTTAGAAGTTCCTGGTACCATTGGTTGAAAAACACCTTCATACAGGGGGGGTTTCTCACACGCAATGGAAAACCCTAAGAATCGAGCCCAGGCAAGTAGGCCAGTGGGGAAAAGCTGAATAAAATAGACAAACCCGAAGTCGTGGTAATCTTATTCTTAAATCTAGTCAGGAAGACACCAATGGGACTCCCCCCATTACCATTGGGGGCTGGCTTTAGCACTTAATTGACCAAGAATTCCAAGCTGCTGATTGGCCAGGGAGTCCCATGACTCCATAGCAACTTCTGACATACCGACGCTGCGACCAAAAGCAGAAAATTTAGCCGACACAGTTAGCATGTCCATTGTTGTGTCGCGCTTGTGGAGCATAGAAATGACATCAGAGCTAACTCCGTCCATCTTTCTGCTGGGACCGCTATCAAAAACCGCCAAAAACCGAGCCATGGCCAACAAAGTACTAGTGGAAAAACCCCAGAATATTTAACATGCAGAGCGGATTGGAGGGCAGAAGGTGGCGACGCGTGCAGGAACTGATCTCTAAACATGGTCTGGGTGTGGAGGGAACCAACCTGAGGGCTGCGTGGGCTCCAGCAGACCGTCAGTCTCCGGGCGCTCGGTGACCCATAGCTCTGCCTGGGGGAAGGACAAAGCCCAAATCAATACCTCGCCTAAAAAACACTGGGAGAAACTTGAGACAGATCATGCAATATCTACAAGAGAACATATGCTCATGCAACTCGGACTGGGCTTTTTTTCTCCTTTTACTTTTTTTTTTTTCCTTCTTGAGTTGGATAACTGTACAGGCAGAACTTTTTAATATTACAATAAGCATCCTTTACACAGCAAATGAAAAGTAACGGCAGCTCAACTGCTCAGAAAATATTGACATAGATTTGGCTCTGTTCATTTTAGCAGGAGTTGCATTAACACTATCCTGGTACATTTTGTTAGTACACAAAACAGTTATTTTTGGTACATAGAATCTACTACTGTGTCATGTTGGAAGTTACATTTGTCTTACTTTTAAGTCGATTCTTTTTTGTCGCCATGGCTGTAGGAATATTTTAAGAAAGTGTTCGGATTTACCAGCAAGTTTAAGTCAAAGGATAAACACACTAGGAAATTAAACATTTAGGGTTAGGTTACCTTAACAGTGGAGCTCTCTAGGTTAAAACCATCCTCTCCATTGCACTGCCATTACTCTGAACTAAAGTAGCCATCGCGCCAGCGTCTTTCGTGACAATGAGGCCTAGACCTGAATGGTGGTTTGAATTCAGTTAATTTTCAGATGCTATAAAAGCAATTCTCACTGACGATTACGACCACAGGTAAGAGGATTGAAAAAGTCTTATACATACCCAGGCATTCAATGCTTTAGAACTCTATACACATTAGGAAGCTATCCAGGTTATTTTAGAGGTCTTACCTCTGGGTCCTTTTTAAAAAGTATAGAAAGAGAGAGAAAGAATAAGTTGTGCTCTTTTGATAATCAATCAAGACATCATTTAGTATGGTTAAAGTCTTCAGGCGTCAATACATTCATTTAGATTTAAAAAGCGGTTTTGAATGAGAAACAAAAGGAAAACACCTACATCTGACGGCTGGAGTTTAAAAAAAGTTTTACTAGGAAAGGAAACAAATAAAGCAAGTTAAGTTTCATAAAAAACAAACTAAGCTTTATTGACAAACTGCTGCAAAACATCTTTTGGACAGATTTAGTATCCTATTTAGGCAAGCTTACACAATGTAGCATAATGCATTTTATGGAGAGGGTACAGAGACTAGTGGCAGAATAAGTACAGTTAGGATGTTTTAAAATATGTACAAGAGTTCGGACTGAGCTGCAGGATCCCTTCTCTACAGTAAGAGAAGACCCATGTGGAGATTTTTGTCCCAATCCTTCGTGGTGTACTTTTGTGCATGCAGTTTATATAGAATCAGATCACAAAATCAAGACCTGAACGGTTAGCTGACCAGGAGGGCCGGGTCTCGGCCAGACTCATTAAAACAAACATTTTGTCGACAGAGTCTTTAAATTGATTTTTAACAAATAAACAAATGGAGGATATGAGGACAGTCCATCTCAACAGTGTCTATTAGGGCTATATTTCAAAACTCTAAGTAAGCAATGACAAATATTGCTGCCTAAATCTAAATGGACAATGTTTTAGATCTATTTAAAAACAAACCATTATGAAGAATGAATTGTACTGATCCCATTAAATTTGCTTTAGTCTTATCTTATTTAAGATTTGTATTGTTTGTGCTTCTATATTACATAATTGGAGGTTTAAAAAGGTCTTTTATTCGGCTATATTAACAGAATTTTGAAATGTAGCCTAAATGGGAATCTGCAACTGACCCTCGACAGATTCTTTGTAGCTAAATACAATTAAAACCGATTCCTTAAGACACGAAGATCATGAGCCACTGGTTCATTTGAAATGACTAAATCCCCAACAGGAAAAACAAATATTAATGCTAGAAAAGCCAAAAAAGAGGGGAAGGAGGGTAAAAACAGTCAGAAAAAAAACACACAGCAAAACAAAGAAAATTTCAAATGAAAAAAGGAGATTGGGGGGGGTGGGGGGAAGGAAAAATATTTGTCCTTTGTGACCCATCTAACAGCCACTTTGGTTGGCGGGGTGGAACAGTAGGGGCGAGGGGAGTGGGAGGAGGGTGTGTGTGGTCAAATCTCAAAGCCAGTTCCGATTTTCAGCTCCCAATTCGCTCTCTCTTATAAAGTCCAGTGTAGGAAAAAAGATCAAACCAAAGACAAAACGGACAATTACTTTTGTCGGGCTTCTTAAAGCGAGAGCTGCCGTGGTAGACAGGCGGTTATCGGGGCGACACTAAGAGTGGCGGGCCGCTTCAGTACTGTCGGTACGGGTGCTCCCGGTATGGCGTTTTGCCTCCTCTAGAGGAGGGGGGGGCCTTCCCGGGAGTGGTCCGCTGGGTGCCGTTCCAGTCGTCCTGACCTGGAAGGGACGCAAAAGGAGGAACATCTGCACTGAAAGCCCATTACCACCATTTTCAGACTGACCATTTAACAGTCAGATCAAGCTGACGCCAGTCTTAAACTAAAGAAAACTCCTTCTTACCGTATGACTCGTATGACTCTGTGGTTTCACCGTGTCCGTAGTCATAATACTCTGGTTCTCTGGTGGCCAAAAGAGAAAGAGGAGGGGGAGAAAAAGAAAACTTTTAATCTTAGGAAAAACATGGTGTCCAGAGAGTTGATAGCTGGCTTTAAGCAGTGAGAGGAACGCTTGGCTCTGCAGCCGGGAACATACAGGACAGTCCAGTTCTGCTGAATAACTCCACCGGCCAAAACCCAGCACCGGCAGGGATGCATTAAGGCCTGCATCTCATCTCAAGTGAAATTAAAATTCTTTTGTTTTGGGTGGAGCAGCCGAAAAAACAACTAAAGAAACCAAACAGAGAGCAGTGTGATGGACTCACGCCTGCGGCTGGCTGTAGTAGCTGTCGTAGGACTCGTAGCCCGTGTCTGAGTAGCTCTCGTCGTAGCCCTGCAGAGGGAGGAGAACAAACAGAATCAAGGACAGGCTCGTTTCATAGCTCATCAATGTCAACATGTCCCAAAGTGCTGCACTTGGACTGAAGTAGCCCCCTCCCCTCCCATCGCATCTCAAACTCTGAAAATCACCAAGAGATCGCCCCGATGACATCATGTTTGGAGGATTTGTTCCTGGGAGCAGCATCCCCCCCCCCCAAACAGAAACCATATCTTTGTGCTTACATAGTCCTCGTAGCCCTCGGCGGCGGCGCCGGGGGTGTGCTGGTGGGCCGGGGGCGGGGCCATCCTCTGCGGTGGCCCACCGGCCGGGGGTCTGGCGCGGGAGGCCACGGCCCCCCTGGCGGGGGCTGCCGGGGGCCCCCCTCTGCCGGCCGGGGCCCCCCTCACTGCACCGCCTCTGGCCGGGCCCCCCCGACTCACGGGCCCGCGGGCCGCCCCCCCGCGAGGAGGCATCCCCCTCCCCCTGGAGGAAAAGACACGCAAAAAAATGACATCCCAGACTAACACGAGCAACTCGGTCAGAACTGGACATGTGTGTGTGTGTGTGTGTGTTTGTGTGTGTGTGTGTGTGTAGGTGTTTGTGTGTGTAGGTGTATGTGTGTGTGTGTTGGGATCCCGGATGACCCTCTGACTGGGGCTGAGTGCTGATGAGTACACACCCGTCTCCCCATCTGTGCTGGCCTGCAGGTGGGACTCCGCGGCCCCTGACCGGCATGCCCCCCCGGCCCCGGGCCCCGTGCTCCTGCCCTCCGTTCAGGTAGCTCATCTCCATGAACTGCTCCTGGCAGATATCATCCATCATGTCCTACGCAGAAAACAGAAAACAGGAGAGAGGGGGGGGGTTCAGAAAGAGAGAAGACAGTTTGGAAAAAACACGCACCGGCCAGAGCGGCTAACTGTGGAGGTCTCTGTTAGTTTCACAGAGGGCGGGGGTGGGGGGGTGGTAAGAGGATGCATGCCCATCCCCTGCCTTCTTTGGCCTAACCCTGGTGCCCCATGTGTGAGCCCCTCCTCCTGCCGTCTGAACCTCTCTGGGGCGACTGCATCAACCGTTGCCTGGTTCAGCCGCACAAACGATGAGTCGGGGGGGGTCTGCGGAGCTGCCTGTCTGAGCGGCACAAATCCTGCAACACAATCCTCCGCTCCTTCTTCTGGGAGCCATCGCAGCGCTGCACTGTGACCCGATCGATTCCCTTTCATACATCAGCCGCGGTGACAGGGGCCCTAATGACGGCGGAAAAAAAAGGATCGGGGGAGAGAGAAAAGCGTCTGGCGGGATAAGCAGCGCGGACAGGCCGCCTTTGATTTATCTGCTAGCGAACGCCAGTCAGAGGACTCGCGTTTGAACGATCCCAGATTCATCTGGAGAGCGGGGCAGAGCGGTGGGGCTGCTGCGGTTTAACAAGCTGACGCATCTTCACCACTACTGTCCTCAGATTAAGCCGGAGACAATGGTGCTATGAAAGACAGGAAATCTTACCAAGCGATGCATCATTCACAGATTTAAAAAAGACAACAACAAACGGGACAAAAACAGGATGAGGACAAACATAGCGGAATAATCCCAGAACACCTGCACCTAGAAGAAGCTCTCCCACATTTAAGATCCACCCGGGGCGATTCTTTAAACATGAGCCGTTAGTGAGCGGGGATTACAGACCAACTGTGGCGCCGGACTGGAACATAACCCCAGCGTTACAGCGGGTTCATCCTAGCTCTGATTCTAAACGTGAAGAGAGAAGGTAAGCTTTCTGCTGCCCTGTGAGCCTTGTGCTGGACGTTCTCAGCATAAAGGCATGAAGCCCGTGCGCCAGACAGGAGCTGGACATGGCCGGGCTGACCCCCCCCGCTGCCTCAGAACTGAACCCCGCCTGGAGCGAGCCGCCGGACACTCTTAATCTCACTGTTCTGTGAGCCCAGACTGTGCCGGTGTGTGTTTGCTCAAGGTAAATACCCCCACTCCCCACGTTTCAAGATTCTAATTCTCTTTAGGAAACAGGAACACAGGCATGTCCACGAGTTGTCCACAGATCCTTCATCTCAGTCTGCAGGAGGAGTCGAGGACAGAGCTTTGGCCTTAGGTTCAGGGCTCAAATCAGAACTGGCCCGTTAACTGGCCCACTGAGTTAATGTTCAAACTAAACTCGCACCACTTCTCAATGGGATTGTTTTAACACGCCTTGATTTCATTGGCCATCTCAGACGTGGAGAATCTCATGTTTCCTTGCCTCATACTTGGGTTAAATGGTCGTTTTTGCATTCAAGACCGTGCTTCGTATTTCACAATTTAAGGGGGGGGAAATCAGTTGTCGGTCAGCAAAAATAGGATCCATAGTTAATTTACAGTCTGAACCGGAGTTCAGACATAATTAAGTTATGAGAGGTCAATATCCAGCATTATTTAGACGTTTCCCTCTTTAAAACACGCGTTTCAGAGCATGTGTCCATAACAAAGGTAAAGAAAAGCTCTTAAAAGATCAGCAAGGAAACGTCTAAATTCTGTTGGGCTGAGGCCACTGCAGGACGGCCAAAATGATATTTCATCTTTAAAATGGAAGACAGTTTAAAAGAAGCATCTCAGGATAACTTAAGCGAATAGCAGAACGTTTCGGCTTACAGGGAACAGGAACTTCTTGACCTCCTCCATGGCGTGCGCCATGCGCACGTAGGCGTCTGGCACCGGTGCGAACACCTCGATAAAAACGTGCAGCTCCATGGACAGGTGGGCATACTTGGGCTCGCCCCCTTTTCTCAGCTCCTCCTCCTATAACAAAGAAAACAATAACAATTCAGAAAGGAACTGCACTCCGTCCGCCTCGGAGGTCATCAGGTAAAGGTGAGCAGCTGGCTTCTGGATTTGAATTTAACAACTCCATCACACTGGTAGATAACAGCTTTAGCAGTCTGTCCTGGAGACAGCAGGAATAGACGTGCGATGCACAGACGCCCTTGGCTTTAATCTTAACACTCATCCTCCAGGATGCAACATCTGGGCTGTTGCTAGGGCCAGCTGTGTTATTGCCTAACGCACCCTCCTCACAGGTGTGTAGCTGGTGCCGTGCGTGTGTCTGTGTGGTACCTTTGCCTTGTCCCTCATGGATCCTTTGCCCAGCACGGAGATCTTGGCTCCGGTCTCCTCCTGCAGACGTTTGATTGTGTTGCCCTGAGGTCCCAAAATCTTCCCCACGAAATTGAACTAAGACGGAAACAAAGCAGAACAAAATTAGTCTGACAATCAAAGCAGGACTGACTTCAATACCCACAGACAGAAGAAGCAATCACCGTCAAGGGCCTTATTGCACATATCGCTGCCTTAAGTTGCAGATTTAGCAGACTAGAGTCAAAAGGAGCCTCTGAGATTTGTACAATCATCCATGCACCGAGCCAGAACCCACTAGTGACGAAAAGCTTAGTTTCCTCTCAGAAAAAAACAAGAAAATGTGTCTTACAATTAGCCTTCAACGTCAAGCATGAGGGCAATAGAAATCCCCTCAAGGAAGCAGCGGCTCCCCTGCACTGACAAACACTCCGCAGCTGTCACATCTGCAAAGACGGCGCTGTGCATCGCGTTGCCCTGCGTGTCGTGGGAAGCCATCTATAGGTCTAATTCTGCCCCGATTAAATCAAGCTGCCTCCATCCACTTTTGCACAACTCACTGAAATAATGACCTCTAGTCAGCCAGTCTGCCGCTTTTACAGGCTCAGACTTGTGCACATATTTTAAACAGTAGGCAAAATATGGCAATACAGTATGCGCCCATGTGTCTGAGCCAGATATCCACTGAACTGACACAGATTGATGCGTCTAACGTCACATGTCGAAGCCAAGCCGAGCGTCACAGACTGAAAACATTTGCAAAAAGAAGACCTGAAGAGAGAGTGAAACTCATAACCAGCATAAGTGCAGCCAAATCAACACATCAGCCTATTTAGTGATGTTCAAAAGCACGCAAGTATCCTCTGTAATTACAGTCGAGGGCTAAAATAATTGAGAGGAGTAATATGAGACTCATGGTTTTGTGCATTTGAAACACTGCTGCGGGAAACAATTAAAACAAGAGAGGTTTTGATAAGGAAGAAGAAAATAAAAAGACAGAGCAAAGAAGGGGCTCACCTTTGGGTACTGTTTGACAGGTATGAGCACTCGTTCCTTAAGTTTGATGTTCTTTGTTGTGAAAAGGTCCAGGTAGGTCTCTGCCTCCTTTTTAGTCTCGCCTTTTTGGATTCTATCGATTTCTGGAAGAGGAGAGGAAGAGTGTTGACGCAGTCAAACAAACAAAGCGCATCACCGAGGACGGTTCAAGAAGCCCAAAAGCACCACTTTTATGGCTTCAAGGATCCCGCAGTTTACAACTTTGGTTGTGTGGTTCGATCGGTGAAACATTTCAATACAAACACTTCTAGTGCAGAAAAATCACGACATTTCTTTGGCCTTTTCGTTTTCCGTCATCTTTGAAAACTCTTGGCTAATAAAGGCGCTTATGGCCAACTTATTTTGAGCCTATATGACGAAAAAGAAGGGGTCAGAAAACGACAAAGCAAACCCTCATTAGAAAGGGTTGATTTTGCCTATGAGGGACGGCTTCAACAGCATTCTGGGAAGTAGCCATCTCCCATCTCCCCCAGCCGTGCAGCACAGCGGCAGCAGCGAATCCCCTCAAACCGCCACCTCATTCCTGGCCGTGACAACTCCTGAGCCCGCGATGTGCAGACATGCCAGCTGCGCCAGCGCGCACCAGCTGCAGATCCAGGGGGAGGCTTCAGCCGGCGGGGCTCTGAGAGAACCTGCAGCACCCCCTGACACACTTAGTCTTTATCATACTTCCAAATCCCAGACATGCAGCTTAGATGTGTGCATATCCAGGGCTTCGCAAGAGACTGGTGTGGAGTAGAGTAAGAAAGGATAGATGTTTTGAGGGGGGAGTTAAACCAAACGCACATGTGCATCAGCACACCAACAAATCAGGTCATCTACAGAAAGATAAGCTCTTAAGGTGTTTTCAGTTTCCCCCTTCAACAGCCTTACAACGACATGCTGTGGCTTCCTACATTTTGTGTGGCTCCTTGATACATTTGTATACTTTTTTTTTTATCACTGTGCAGCATTAGCTGAAAGCCATAAGAGTTTAAAAAAAGAAGGGGGAAAAGTACCTAATAGGATATATCACGGTAACTGAGGCTGTTGACGACAACAGGCTGAGAGATTGTACGCAGAGGTCTCCTCTCCAGCACAGCCACAATGGCTGCCCCGGATCTGCCACGGCTGCAAATGCGTTTGAGAGCACTCCAGCCGCGGGGAAACACCCGGTGCTTCCAGCTCTCTGGCGGGGTTTTATTAGGGCCGCCTCTCGGCTTTCCAGCAGCGGGTGAACCGGGTTCTCTGGCACCTCGGCTCATTTCTGGGTTACCGTTTCAACGAGGCTCAGATTCGAGATTCAAAACGCGACGAAAACCGTTAAAATGCCCCAAGTTTCAAACGGCGGCACGAGCTCGGCCAGACAGCCATCAGCGCGTGTCGCAGGCAGATGCGCGAGGGGAGCAGAAATTATTCAGCGGCTCCAGCCAAAGTGTCCCCCCCGTTTCACCCGCAAAGGCTTGCGGCTGCTTACTAAGTCCGACGGCGTTGTTTCTCCAGCGTTTGACTTGCTCCAACACGGAAACTCACGTTTAAAATATTTGGGCTGTTGGGGTGCTCCGCCTTAAGAGTATCTGTTCACACATGGCGCTGGATGTTTTTGTGCTTTTTGTTTGGGTTTTTTGTGTTCCGTCTGCAGCCCCAAGCATAAAGAGCATAAATAAAACAAAACAACTTTTTTTTCAATTTTATAAAAAGAGCTCTTTACCTGCGTTTAAAAGTTTCATAGCGTGCGTGAACGACGAGTCCAGGCTGTCCTTCTCCGCCAGAAGCTCGGGGAGATATTTATCGTCGTTCTCCATCTTGTTGAGTTCAGAGGGGAAGGGGGAAGGGGGGGAAAGAACAGTCAATGTGGCGATTCAACAAGAAAAGCCTGCAAAAACTCCCAACAGCAGCGAGAATTCAAAAAGAAAAGTATTCCGGTTATGTAACTATGGAGTGCAGCGTGTCCCCGGAGCAGCGGCGCTTCGCCCGGGCGTTCTCTGCGGCGGACCGGTCCTCGACTTTGTCTGGTCGTGGTTTCCTAACAGATTGGGTGCCCCCCTCTCCACTTCTCTCCTGCGCTGTCTAGTTAGAAATGGGAGGACAACATCGGTGAGGGAGTACAAGAACGGCGTTAAGACTCTAACCGACGGAAGTGAGCTCAGAAGGACGTAGCTCTCCGGACTGACACCGCCTACCGTGGAGTGGATGCCATTAGTCTGGAGCAGCCCGGCCACATTTAGCTCTGAACCATTGAGAAAACGCAAATGTCTTCTCCTCCAATGCTCAGTAATATCAAATCAAAGTAATTAAAAACTAACTTTGTTTACCATTCCTTTTATTGTTGAACACCCTTTGGCCCCCAGGAGCCCCAAAGTTAAAGATTCATTAATATATATTATGTCACTATCACTGGCAGTAATGTGGTAACCTAATTTTTAATTATTTTGGGTAACATGGTCACACGTCATTTAAGCCATACATAATTGAAAGTAAACGTTGACTTTAATTTAGATTTTCAGTAGTCATGTGCCAATAAATTAAGAGCATTTTACTTTAATAATTTTTTAATCATTGCCTAAATGAGCACATTCATCTGAGGCTCTCTACTGCCCCTCAGTGGTCATTCTGACTACGACAAGCACAGGGACACTCCAGACAGAGGCTTTTCCCAACTCTAATCATCCATTTTCCTCTCACTCGAGTATTGATTCAAAAATGCTTGCGTGTGAGTGAAAAGCGAAGTGAGGAGATTGTCTGGAAGCCACATCTTAAGGATTGATTTCCTCCCACTCAGGTAGTGGTAATGAACCTGCCATGCCATTCACCGGAGCGCATAGGGTCAGAGGTTAGAGCTGGCCTTTGCATACAAAGCAAGGAGAGCGCATTTCCTCCGTGTAAGGTCTTTAACTCACTCAGTGGCATGCAATAAGTGCAGATGGGATGATGCTCTTTAAGCAAACAGCAAAAACTGCAGGTTGTTTGTCAGTCCGCCTCTGGAGTGAAAACTATTAGGATCGACCGCAGGTGTACCCAGGCATGCATCTGCTCAAAACAAATGAAGGTAAAAATTGCGAGCAATAAACACTTATGGGAGAGCAAAGACCCACTCTAACTATCAGTGCTGGGCTTGATCTATCACTGACCATTACAGTGTTATTAGTGTTGGGGGTTGCAAGGTTGCTCTGACTTCGCTTGTCATTGACGGAATGAATTGCATGTGAGCTGAATTTCAATTGGCTCGTAAAACGAAGACTCACTTCTCTAGCAGGTGGAGGAGTTCCAACCCGATAGCTTGCGCACTCCCCTTCTGTTTACGCAGATATTCCCCTGTCCCCCAGCAAACAGGGCCACAGTCTGGGGTAAACAAACAGGGGCAGATGGAAAGAAATAAACAGCAGGGTTTAGCCAGTATAAGCTGCCACTATCCAAGAACTATGCATATGACCATTTTTCATGCTCCACAAGTTTCCAGAGAAATAATTTCATCCTAAGAAAAGGGCCTAATACGTAGCAATTAGAAAACCATGGCTGCAAGATAGCTTGTTCGCTTGCAGAGTCAACAGCCTCTGCGGAGAGCAACACGGACACAGCTGTGCTTTCAGTTCCAGGCCATGTGTCCTGCTTTCTCCCATTTAATTGCTAAAGTTGCTAGAATGGTTACTACTATTTATTGTGATTACAGGACGTGGTAGTTTATCAAAACAATGCAACGATCCCAAAATTCAGCAATTTAAAAATAAAGTTGAAACACAAACCAATATTCAGTTAAAAACAAAACACAGACAACATCAAATGCTGTGAGACATTTTCTAATTCCTGACCTTTATTTTGATGGCAGCAAAGCTTTTCACTGTATCCTTTTTTGGGGAAAAAAGACTTTGGGAAAGAGAGAAATCATTAAAAATTTGGGAAAGTAAGTGACACTTGGGATATATATCTTGAGAACCGAGTTGTAATTAATTAGGTTTATTATGTGACATGGCATGAATAGAGCTAAAACTGTACTATCTTCTTTGGGTAAAGTGGAAAGAAAATGAATCGAAAATTGAATTTTTTTAAAAGAAATCTTGCATGCCACACTCTCCGGAAAGGGACCATTAAGATTGCTCATAGTACATAATTCAAAAGTATGTTTCACTGATAGGATAAGAGTGTATTAGTGCCTATGGAACCCGCACATTTTACACCTGGAGAGACTCCCGAAAAGCAGAGATAGTCTTGACAGAAACATAGGCCTCCAGCCAGATTCCAGAGGAGGTCAGTTTTTAGGGAAGACCTTGACTAATTCAGCAACACAATGCAAAACCATATACCCCATTTATGACAACCACAAAGCTTTATTGAAGAAGAGTCCAGAGGCCGGGCTGACTTCCAGTTGTGCAGAACTTTTCCAGATTGGAATCACATGGCACACCAGGAAAGTAAAATTGAACAAAGCAGACACAGGGATGTTCAGTGGCAAGAATCCATCAGCCGGTCTCATTTCCCAACATAGTACCAGTCTGCTGTAGAAAGAGGAGCAGATGTGCCACAGTGCTAAACAGAGCCTCATTCCAATTCCTCCAAAACACACTGCTGCTACCAATTCTGTAAATGGTTATTTTAGATTTGACTTAACTTCCTATTTCTTTAGAGCTGAAGTTATAGAAATCAGTGGATCCTCACAGTCATTGGGACATCACAGCCAGTCGATCTACTGTTGATTTAGTCGTGAGTTTACCACTTAAGGGGGAATCTTGTCAGCTGCTGACATTATGTGAAAAGTCAGAGGATCATCAAAGCTTGTATTTGTCCTCCCAAGGCCATATATGTCTCAACCAAATGTCACTGCAAAAGTACCCTGTACTTGTTGAGATATTTTACTCCAAACCCCAAATGTCAGCCTCATGATGGTAAAAGAGGAAAGGCCAGAGCATCAGCTAAGTCATTTGGATGTGGAAAATGCCAGTCAATTTAGATACTGAGATTTCACAGAGAAAGTGAGACACATGCCCGGATCGTATGGGAGATCATCACCCAAGGCTTTGTGCGTTGGGGGTTACACATGTTGGCACACAATTACATGGCAATCCATGCAAAAACTAAAATTATTCGCTTGGAAAAAAACAGCAACGGACGACTAAGTCATGGTGTGGTCATTAGAAATGTGCAATATGCTCAGCTTCAAATGTCCTGAACAAGCTGAAGTCAGTACAGTTTCAAAGCTATCTGAAAAATCTGATCCAACCAGGTCCCTTTACAAGAGTCCATTTTTAAAGCAATGGCTTTTGTTTCCATTGTCAGAGTCAACAGGTCTCCAGGTAATAGAGATAAAGTGAGGGTGGTAGTAGGGCAAATAGAAAGGGAAGAAGAAATGGCAAGTTTAAATCTCATAGAGTATACAATGTCAGTGGAGGCTTTTTTTTGGGTGTGGGGGGGTTTAGGAAAGAAAGCAAGCGAGAAGGCTTAAAAGATGGCTGGGTTCCATCAGAGGGTCACGCTCAGTTTAGCATTGCCACAAGGCCAGAGAATCCTTTTTTCCCCCATGAAAGCTTTCAGAAGTGTCACACCTGCTTAGGTCTGTAACACCCCCCCACTGCCCCCCCATCTCTCCCACACTCAATACACCTCTCTCAACACTCCGGCTCTCGCCTGCCCCTCTCAACCCACCCCGCTCCTCCCAGGAGCATTTCACTTTCAGTCAGGGAAGAATCCTCAGACTTTTACAATTCCCAGCAGTTTGATCATTTGGTGTGAGTTCTGATGGTCAGTAACTAAAATCTCAAAGGCCACTACTATGACTGCTTGAGTATTCTGCTGGTGTTGCAAAGCAGAATAAAGAATTTCGCATTGACTTAGCAGCTTTTTTTTTTTTTTTAAGAAAAAAATAATTGACCCTTATTCGCAAACTGCTGGTCTAAAGAACTCGGAGGGTGAGATCACAACTTTTGCTTCAGTGAATAATTAATGTGACATTTCAGTTCGAGTTGTTACTGGAATTATTGGAAACAAGGCAGAGAAATGATCCATTCTGTTTTGTAATAGCTCATTTTTGTGGTTAAAAAGAAACAAGAGTATTTTCAAAGACCTCCGCTCTTACTGTAGCTATCTCTGCTGAAATGAGGACATATCTACAGCACCCATGTGTGCATTCTCTTTTCAAATAATGAACAAATACTGTGTGGTGAAACAAATTTTAAAAATGTGCACATAGGAGAGAAAATACCTTTAAAAGCATTACACCAAAATCAACTTATTGAATGAAATTTAAATGAGTGAGAAAGGTTAAAGTCAGGGGTCCACTGTGTGATCTCAGTCCCTTCCACACCAGAATCCTGCCTGGATTCCTAGAGGTGAGAAGCCTCTAATTCACTCAAAGGTAAGTTTTAATGGTGCATTAAGTTACCATGTTTTCTATTAATCATGATGAGCTGGAGAAACCTCTGACTGAACACACTCTGCTTTTCCGTATTATGCAATGGAGGGTGCATAGTTACTGTGCCCCCCCCAAGGATCTGAGGTCCCCAGCCTCCTCATCAGGCTCTACCAGAGAGGAGAAACTCTCAGACTTCCTCATTGCTCTAAGTTGTCCGCTGTCATTCGTCATTATTGCTTGTCCTTGCTTTTCCTCCTCCATATTTCCCATTTTAATCATTTAATAGACAGTTTTGTCCAAAGCAGTGAACAAAATTGTGCCATTCAACTCCTCAATCCTCTTACTTCTATCTTATTGGCTTTCTCATGAACACAGTGCCTAACGATGCGTTCTCAGTCCAATATTAATGGATACTAACAGCCACTTACCAACAGGTGTACCCTGAGTCTAAACGGGGGGGAACGGAGTTGTTATATCTTCCGAATGGGATTTAAAAGAAAGCCTTGCCAA